ATCCAAGACTATTTTTTTATACACCAACGAATGGTAATCATGTATAACTATCACATATAAATTGTGAAGGAGAGGTTACAAAGTTTTTTATTGAATTTTGGTGAAGATTAAAATCAAATGATAATTGATTAATTTAATTTAGGTGTAGATTGTTGATATTTTAAATTGTTGACGATCTTTAAGTCTACATAACAACAACATACAATTTTTTTAGTATGATTAATGATGTAACTTTAGCTTTCAAATGAATATAAGATCGTCAACTTATCTCAAGAATTGGTAGAATTACAAATTTTTTAAATTTTGGACTCGAATCAGTTGAAAAGGTTTAAAAGAATCAGATTAATTTAATTTAGGTGTAGATTGTTGATATTTTAACTTTCCGACGAACTTTAAAGTCTACATAACAACAACATACAATGGAACTTTTGCTTTCAAATGAATATAAGATCGTCAACTTATCTCAAGAATTGGTATAATTACGAATTTTTAAAATTTTGGATTCAAATCAGTTGCGAAGGTTTAAAAAAATCAGACAATTTTTTTATACATCAATGGATGATAATCATGTATAAGCATAACATATAGATTAAGGAGGTAAGACTAAAAAGATTTATTTCAATCAATTGAATTTTGAAGAAGGTTAAATCAAATGCTAATGATTATTTAATTTAGGTGTAGATTGTTGATATTTTAAATTACCAAAAAAATTAAAACAACAATATGTGATTTTTTAATATAATAGATGATAAAATTGTAGCTTCAAAATGAACATAAGATTGTTGAGATTAAGGTTGTAGGCGAAACTCCTCCAGAAATCAATTGACAGAATTTTGACAGTCACTAAGAGGTTTCGGCAGTTGAAATATTCCCAAAATTGACTTGATGTGAAAATTTTTAAATAATTTCATGACACAATAAAAATTGCAAAATTTGAAATTTTGTTTCTAATTGAAATATTAATATTTTTTTTGATTTTAAACTGTCATGAAACCATTTGAAAAATTACATGGTGCCAAAAAGACTTAATTTCGCTTTCACCTCCCCCTTACACCCCAATCTAGGAAGGAACAGCAATGCTATATATTTTTTCTCTCTTTTTCTGTTACGCATTCTCTTGTGCATTGATTGTGCAAAAATGGTTAGCAAATATTTTAGTCTTATATAGAACAAATGATCGTGGCTTGTTATATTGTGTCAGTGGCTCATGTTACTTTCTAAAAATGGTATATACATTTCTGGTTATGCACACAGCCTTTGAACCTAACTAAAATGGAACATCTTGGAATTTATTATCATTGTCATTGTTATATGTCATTATTCCGAACAATCTTAGGAGATGGTACATTTCAATTTTGGGTAGAAATGGCCCTCAAAATCGAATATCATTTCTTAATTGGATAAATTTTGTGATGATCTTGTAAATTATTTCCAAAAATGGTAATAAAGTGGGTATTTTTTCAAATGTACCATCTCCTAAGATTGTTCGGGGTCCTACCTAATCCCGCAACTTACTACGCCTCGACGACAGATTTGAGGAAAAATTTCCCGATCAAAAATGCAATAATTTTGATCACGTGATTTTCGGTAAGCTGTCATTTCACGTGATAGTCTACAATCAATCCATAAATGGGAGAAATCGGCAATAATAATATTATGTAATTACATATTATTAATATTTTTAGTAATAAACAATTAATTAAACAATAATGCTTTTCTTGATCAAAAAAAAAAAGCAGTAAATAGTAAACTGTTTTTTAGCATTTTTTAGTAATAGACAATTAATTCAATTGTCAATTAACAAACTAAACACATAACATTTTTCTTAAAAAGTAAACAAATCAATGGTACAATCCAAAAAAAAACCAGGACAAATGATGATAATAGTAAAACTTCATTAAATATTAAACGAAAAAAGAAAGATGCTTCACCACCACTAAAAAGATATGATAAAATAAATAAATAACAACAAACAATAATGAATTCAATTATTGAATTAAATAGCTCTTCTTAAATGTAAAACAAACAAAATTTTTTATTCTTACCAAATAGTTCTTTTCTGTTGGAAAAAAAGATAAATGTTTTATCACGTGGAAAAAAAGGCATTGAAAAAGAATCTCGCAGACCAAAAAAAAATTTTTTTTTAAATTTAACCACCCAGCGAAAGCAAAAAATTCTTTCCCAGACCTTTAATTCTTAGATTTAATTTAAACAAAGGAATTTAAATGATTGGATCACTTTAGAAATAAATTGAAAATAATTCTACACAGAAGGCTCAAGTAATACATTTAATTAGGACTTCAAAGAAATCAGAAAACTAGATGATCAAACCTTTAACATGTATAAATAACATTGTAATTTTCTCAACTTCATGTATAATCATTAATCGTCATTCATAATCATCATCTAATAAATAAAACTTCCTTGTCCGTTGTCCTTGTTGTCTTCAGATATTATGTTTTCATAATGATAATAAATTTATCTCTAACAATGAATTCATAATAATCCCGTGCATAATTATTTTCTATTATTTTATATTTGTCTCTATTATTTTTTATTCTTTTCTTTTCTTTGATGAGGTAATATTTAATAAATTTTATTTTGTGAAGTTCGGAGACATACCTGACTTGGTAGCAAAGGGGAAAATGGCACCCACAAAGAAACGTGATCAGGA